GTTTCAGCATGTGCAGATCCCCCTGTAGTACCAGCTGGTCCACCTATGAGGATAAAAGCCTACTACTGCCAGTGAATGGGGTTACTCCTTCAGCTCAAGTAGTACAGGCCCATGCTTTTAGCACCGAAGCAGGTGATGACCCATGAGGGCTCCATCTTTTACATCAAGCCTTTAGCCAGGGATGTCAGATCATTCTGAGCCAGACATTTACCCCACCCATCTGCCAGGAGGGAGGAGGGCCCCCCCAGACCAACGAGGGAGCAAGTTCTCAGATTCCCCCAGCTTGCTTCACTCCCTTGAGTAGCTCGGGTGCCAGGCCACAGAGCAGCAGAGATGTAGCTGTCAGCTTCACTTCTGCCGCAGAAGGGTGGTAATGATAGCTGAGCCCAACCGTGCTCTGGTGCTGGAGACTTTCAGACTTTCGCCTCCTTCTGATACATTTACTAAAAACTAAACAGGCACCCCATGGTGTTGGTGGGGCTGTGAAACAAACAGGGCGGGGGCTCTGAGCTAATACTCTGGGTTTTAATTTCACACCTGGGATAAGACCATATGGGATTCCACTGGGATCTTGAGATAGGCAGGGTTCCTGCAATTTGCCACTGCCAGGAGCAGCTGCTGAGGGCTGGGGGCATGTGAAGTATTCTGCAAACTTTCCACTCAAATACCAGGCTGAAGGGCACCTTAGCAGAACACGTAACAAACTATAACCATAGTGAGTGAGTGGCAGGATCCTGTAATCCTTCCCATGAATCGGTGCTGCTGCCCTGTCCCCCTGAGCAAGCACAGGTACGTCTACGCTGCCTCAGAGGTGCGATCGCTGCACACGGAGACCTAGGCCTTGTCTACACTACACAGTTTTGTCGACAAAAGTCCGCTTTTGCCGACAAAACACTGGAGGTGTACACACTGCCGTGCTCCTCCTGCTAGTGTAACTCCCCCACTGTGATGACACAATAGAACCACCTTGACGAGAGGCGTAAGGCTTATGTCGGTGTAGTTAGTGTAGACATTACGTTCCTTACATCAGCTGTTGGATCCCTTAGAGCCGTGAAATTGACATGAAAGCGGCTCCCGGCTCCCCAGCCAGTCTGCTGTGGGATCTCTGCTCCAAGCTGAGCTGCCACCCAGCCTCCCGGCTTGGGCTACTGCCCACAGGTTCCCTGCTCCCCACTGGGAGCCCTGCAGCTCCCTGGGGTCATGGTTCCCTGCTCCCCGCCGGGAGCACAGCAGCCAGACAGACTCCGGGACCAGATCTCCCCGCTGGAGGCGAGAAGCCTGGGAGCATGGAGGTGAGACGCCCCGGACGGCAGCTGGCTCTCAGTCCCCCACACTGCTCCTCTTCAGTCGGTGGAAACGTTCCAGGGGAGGACGCGTGCCACGGCCAGGAGGGTAGTGTGAACATCAGCCACTGCAGTAATTACTGTAGTGTAGAGGTAGCCGTACCCAAATGAGCTTTGCTCTAGCTAGCGGAAGCACCAATAGCAGGGAAGCTGCACCCGCACAGGTTTCAGCATGGCTGTACAAGCCTGCCTGGAACCCTGGGTAATTCCTCAGGCCTCTGGCCTAGGCCGAAGCCAGCGCTGCTGCGGCTCTGGGACCAGAGCTGGCCAGGTTAACACTAGCCTGGACACGTCAACGTGTGCTACAATCACACCTCTGATTTCAGTGCCCGAGACCAACAGAGGCATGCGTAGGACCAGGGCTGAGCGGGGCAGGGAGAAGGGGCACCTCCAGCTCAGAGAGCAGCTGCAGAGCTGTTCCCTGGCGGCTACGTCAGTGCGAGAGCCAGAGTGACTGGCAGGGAGGGCCCAGCAGCACATCCTCTGGCCACACCAGCCCCCCTTGCGTACTGCCCGGGAGCCTGGATAGCTGGGCTGGCAGCAACGGGGGCATGGGCAACTCTTCCCCCGGTCACCCAAACAGCATAATGGGGCTAGTTCCGCTACCGGCCGTAAGGCTGACTACACTGTCCCCTGTGAAGGCGTGCTGTTCCCATAGCAACGCCACACTCAGCACAGGCCCGGGTTAAAGAACTGGGTGCAAACCAGCCCTCTGCTCCAGGCCCGCAGGGTGCAGCATGGGCAGCATGCTGAGCTCCTGCACCGGGGGCGGGGGGCATTCAGCAAAGTGCCCCCCCATGCATAACAAACCCACACATGGACCCCCGAAGACCCCTTGCACCGCAACCTATATAGAGGCCCCTACACACCCCACGTGTACCCAACAGCCAACCACCAGCCCCCACATCCCAGCAGCCCTGACAGTCATCCTGCCACACCTAAAACCCTACATCCTGGCCCCCAGCCCCACCTGCTCCCAATTTCCCCCGCCCAAAACCCTACATCCCCCATAGCCCCATCTGCTCCCAATATCCCCCAAAACCCTACATCCCCCATAGCCCCATCTGCTCCC